AATCTTGTATTTTATCAAAAAAGATTAATGCAGGTCCCTCAAGGAATGCTGCGATGTATAATGTTTTGTCATCGTCTGACCAACCGTTTATTAAAGCGGATCTATTATATTCTTTTAAAAATTAATCTATATTATCTGATATTGAGCCAGAAAATTTATTTGGTTTAAAATAAGGTCTCTTATTATTGTCATTCATTTYTWCTTTTTTGTTATTACTTATAGGATCGCAGAAAAATGTTAGGGAGTTTATTGTAAAAAATKCACTTTCTATGGATTCTCCTTTTAAATAATTTAATAATCTATTTCTAAGCTCTATAGCTGTGCCAGTTGATATTAAGTTTCTTCTGTTAAGCTCTATAATTAGTCCGCCTATGTTCAATTTATGAACCCATGATGTTTTAATCTTAGAGAAATCTATTTTGGAAATATCAAGTTATTAAATTTGGTTAAATTATTAGGCATGTGAGTAATGATTTATATTGAAATTTATTTTGAWAATGTATATAAAAAAAATATAAAAAATATGATTAATGTTATTTGAATGAATTTACTACATTTATGTTAGTGATTAATATTTTATTTATTTGTTCATTGAGAAAATTAATTTGTAGAAAAATATGTATTATTGTATTTGTTTACTAGTATATGGGTAATTTTTTATTTTATTTGACTTGTTCGTAAGCAAGTAATATTATTATATTTATTATTTAGTTGTATATTTTTATTATTCTTTTATTTAAACTTTATTAGCAAGTAATTTTATTATAAAATTTTATTTATTTATTAGCAAATGTAGCTATTTATTATTACATTTAACTTGTTTATTAGCAAGTGAAATTATAAACCCATTTCAATAATCAGTATCTTTGCTAAAGTATTGGAAAAAATAGACTAATTGCATTTTTAAAGGAAAAAACCTCTTGGCTCTTATCTAACAATCAATTTGGCTTTAGAAAAGGTCTAGGGACTATTGATGCACTTTATAATGTATCAAAATATATCTATAATGCACTTGACAACAATCAAAAAGCTATAGGTAGCTATAGCTATTTTTTTGGATCTTGCTAAAGCCTTCGATACTGTCGATCATAGTCAACTATTAATTACTTTTCCAGGTTTTGGTATTGTCAATGAAAGTCTTAAATGGTTTTCAAGCTATCTAAAAAGTAGAGTTCAATATGTTTCATTAAATGACCATATGAGTAATGTATCTTATATTAACTGTAGTGTACCACAAGGCAGCGTGCTTTGGCCAGTTTTTWTCATTATGTATATTAACAGTTTATGTAACATGAAAATTAATGGATCTATTGTTACCTATGCTGACGAAACCTGTTTATTTTCTGATGCTACATGGGAACTGGTGTATAATAAATCAAAAACAGAATTAAATAAATTCATTCTGAACCTAAATTTAAAAAAAGATTTCTGTCAATTATGATAAAACTGTTTTTATTGCGTTTTCTATTTATAATTGTACTCTTAGTCTTAGGGACTAATAATATATAATGATAGTCATATAGCTGGCGATTCAAACGACTTTAAAATTAAGAGGGTAACAAAAGTCAGATACTTAGGACTAATGCTAGACTGCAACTTTAGATGGAATATCCATGTACAAAATATTATTATGCGCTTACGAACTGTTACATATAAGTTATTTTGTTTGAATAAAACTCTCTTCTCAGATTCTATGAAAATTGTTTACTTGTCACTATATCAATCTATCATACAATATGGTATAACTATATGGGGTGGTGCCTTTGAAAAAACACTAAAACCACTAATATCTTTACAGAATAGAGCTGTTCCTATCTCTCTAAATAAAACAGATCGAGTTGGTTCCTCTAATAAAAATTACAAAGAACTGGGTGTACACCCACTAAATCTGTTACATAAAAAATATTCTATATCTTTTTCTTTAAAAAATAATTCTAAATTCGATCCRAATATAAATAAACATAAATCTTTAAAATACAATCTAAATGTCAATTACTCAAAAAAATGTTTTGGTCAGAAATTTGTTGACTATTTATAGGGCTAACTTATTTCAATTACCTAGAAATTAATGTCAAAAGGTATCTTAGATTAAGTAATATTATTAATATAAATAAATACCTAACTTATGTTTTTATAACTAATTTGTAAATTCAAGTATCTAGTTTATAACTTCTTATTTATTTGTTTTTGTTGTCATATTTGTAAATTGTATATGCTATATTTTAATCTCTAAGGAAATAACTTTGTAAATAACTCGCTACCTTCAACTCAAGCTATGCTTAAAGAAGGTAGCTAAATCAAAAATGTTTAAAATGTCTATTTTAGTATAGGTACTAATTGTACCAGTATTTTTATTATAGTTAATAAATGGTTTATTAAAAAAAAAAAAAGTAATTTTATTATAAAATTATATTTATTTATTAGCAAATGTAGCTTTTTATTATTTTATTTATTATTTTTTATTTGCTGCAATCAGTTAATTTAAAGAATATATGTTAATATTCGGCTAAGTTGAAAAAGAAAGAGAAAAAAAAATAAAAACTCTCAGTTTACAAAAATTGAACTAGTGTTGGGCGCCACTTTGTAATGAGTTAAAAATAAGGTTAAACGTGTATATGAGATAAATAATAGATATTTTAATTCAGCAATGTGTAGTGATATTTCAAATCATTAATGTATCTTTATGATAGAACAGTTAAAGGTTGTCTTCTCTTTATATTAAGATTTATCTTTAACTCATTACTTTAATATTATCATTTATTATAATATTTAATTGGGGGTGACTAGGAGAGTTTTTCTTTAGTTCAAATTTTAAATAAAAAAGGAAATGCTTGAGGAAAGCTTWGAGTGTCGAATAAATTTGTCACTTACCTTTTGTAGTAATTGTGAAGCAGAGTTACCTATGTAAGACTTTTCTTAATGTATATTGGATGTTGATCAGAAAGAATATATTGAAATAAAAATTATAACGTTCAAAGAAATATATTGCAACTGATTTATTTTAACTTTAAAATGACATAAATTAAGTATGAAAGAAAAAAAAATGAATGAATAAGGTCTGAGTGAGCGACTGAGCTCATTTTTGGGTGTCGTGTGGACTTATTTAGACCATGACATGAGATGCCGCCTTTGATCCAATTGAACCATAGACCACGGCATACTCTCTCATGTGTATTATTATTATAATATGATAAAGATAACTATTGAAAGAATTACATATTATTAACATGTTGATTTTTATGAATAAAATTAGTTGTTAGTATGCTATGATCAGGCCCGTCGTAAGACATTTTCCGCCCTAAAGCGAATAAAAATAATAGTTAAATTTCTGTCTTTTTTGGAAATTTAATATTACAATTTGCCGCCTCGATTTTTTTAAATGTGATGCCGCCCTAAAGCAACGCATGGCTTGCTTGTACCCTAGCGACAGCCCTGGCTATGATATATTGTTTAATTTATCGTCTTAAATCTAAAGTATAGTCTGAACATAGTTTTATAAAATATGATTTACATAATGTGTTTATCATTGCAATGTTGATAATTTTTATAAATAAAACTGATTGTTAATATGCTATATAGTATATTATTTAATTTATTGTCTTAAATCTAAAATATAGTCTAAACATAATCTAATAAAATATGATGATATACATAATGTATACACTGTATATCATTACAGATTCAACACTTTTACAAACATTGATAAATTATTTAAAACTGAATACACATAATCACCTAAATTTTKTCTTGATTAAATTTATTGGTAAGTAGTTAGTTAGTATCGTAAAAATTTACATATTACTGACTTTTCATTTATGTCACACTTGACTAATTYGCTTAGGTTAACAGAACACAGGAACAATACAATTGTATATATTATTGCAATAGCCAGTCAGATGAGTTTTGAATCACGAAGTAGATACAACAGTCATTTTTACATTTAAAAAGAACATAAATATTTTGATTCAATTATTTCAACTTGTAATTTGCTAACTCTTGTATTCTTAAATATACCACCCTTAAAAAAAGTTTTTCTTCTTTATACTATTATTACTATCCAATAATTTAATAAACATTGTATTCGTACTATATCATATTCAAATGTGTTAGTCTATGAACTTAGGTCATACGTTCTTAGGACCTGTTTAATAAAACTAAACTAAAATAAACTTTTTCTGTATCGATTCAACTAACCCGTTCTTATAACCAGTTTGTGTAGTGTGAATAGTTAACCAAATACTCCTTAATTGGATAATATTTAATATAAATCATCAGCTATTTGGTTTAAATAAATAAGCACATAATATAGAATTACAGTATTATGTACAATAAAAATAATTAATTACTCAATATAATGATTGAATTGTAACTTCTAAAACCATCTGCCGACTTTGTAGTTAAATATTGATCTTATGTAATTTTTCTATTACTTATATAATTTTTAGTTTCAAAAATGAAGCTATTTTAATATATTTGTAAGAATCTAATAAAATACATGAAAATCTTTTTTACAAAAATTCTGGTTCAATAAATACCCAACCATTAAATATTGGAATAAATATAAAATATATAAGTTCATATCTCATATAAAATAATTGAAACACACATGAAAACCTTTTTATTCCTTCAGTTGGGAAATTTCTATTCAAACCATTAACATTTCGATAAAAAATACTAGTAAGATGCTCTGTCTCTTGAATGTTCTAAATACTTATAATGTATCATATTCTCTCTTTAGCTTAATGGCAAAACTAAACATTTTTATATTTTTACCATCACCATACTGAAAAAATCAGGTGAAAAAAAAACACTATTTATTTGAATAATATTATAATCATTCTATGTATATTTATTTTCCAAGTATCTTTCTTATGATAAAAATGTTTGTATTTATTATTTCTTAAATATTAATATAATATGATGTACCTTAATATATAATTGTTATAAGCAATGGCAATAATATGTAATATTGTGGATCAGCTAGATCGTTTCTGATAATTTTAATTTTAATTTAAGTGAATTGKTTTAAAAAAAAGATTTAAAATAAAATTGTATACATTGTGTTGGAAGGGATACAGGAAATGACAGAGATAATAAGCATTTAATAGCACTCATATTACGCTCATCATTAGGGATCATTGGGCTTGCTGTCGATGTAATATTCTTATCTTCTGATATTTCTGCATTTGATGCTGAGCGTGTATGTCTGTTTTTCAATGTAGACTTTTGGATCTGATTCATTTTATCGAATTTAAGGTGTCGAAATATCCAATCTTCTATTTGCATGGGGTATACGTCTTTCCTGTTCACATTTAACAATGAACTAGGACTGGTGAGGGGCACAATTGAACTAGACCCACCATCTTCACCACTTATTTTATACATGGATTGACGTCGACTTCTTTACATGTAAAAAATTRAATGTATTTAGACATATAATTACTAGAAACAGGAACATATTTAATACTTTTGAATAATACCATTCCTCAATTAYACAACGTGTATAGATTTAAACCCAAAGCTGGGCTTTAACCGATTAAAAAGTTAAGTTACTTTTAAGTGTACTTAAGTAACATAACGAGTTASTTTTTTGCTAAAAGTTAAATTTAACTTAACAAGTTAACTATTTTTACTTTAACTTAGTGTAACTAATTTTTTTTTTCCAAACCATGAAGTAATTTATGAGTAAATTCATTTTGTTGTCAAGTTAAGTTATTTTTTTTTAAAGACCACAGATTTTAAATATTTTATTCTATTTTGTACAAATTAATTATATAAAAAATAAATAATAATCGTGCGATATCGATGGCATAGTACACTTTAGTAAGATACATTTGTTGTAAAAATAATAACAAAAGTAAAATGTGGACTGTGCAGGCTCTCCAAATTTGCATAATGTTCTATTAAATAAAATTTACCTTTAAAGTATAGTATAGCGGCTTTTGCGAAAAATATATATGGTCTATTCCTTGATGCCGTTAAAAAAAAGTATGACTTACCTYCGACCTGCTTCATGTTGGATGGCAATGGGCTGAGTGTTGGTAGACTTGGTCGGCGATAATGCTGACAATGGGTGAAGTTTAGGCTGTAACTGCATCATTGTCCACACATCAAGACCTTTGTAATTAGGAACGATCATGGTTTGCAAATTTTGGTAGGATAGTGTTCCTGACAATTTGTTAATGCGAGCTGAAATTATGTTGTTATGTATTATGTTTATATGCATATGCATAAAAAGTAACGTGTTGAAATAACAAAAAATATACCTGGACATTAAGGAAATTCATAGCATATTGTAAAAATAAACAAGATTGTTTATTATTTTTTAAACTACAAATGCCTTTGAAGAATGAAAAACGATAAATCTTTAGGACTGTCTCTGCTACTAATTATTTATATAATTTATTATATACAATTAAATTACTTATTCATTAATATTTGAAAATAAATACAAGTATACAATTTAAAAAAAAACAATGTATAAATAATAATGTTCTTGAATCATGACTAAATTTAAAGTATAATATAAAAATAAATATTACCTAACTAACCCATCAATCAATTTTAAATTCAAAGATATTAATTTGGCAAAAATTATCCCATAAAGAGATTGTCAACGCAATTATTTTCTCTCGCAGACAAACGCGTAACAAAGAAAATATTTTCACCTGAAATCATTTTTTTACGATTTTTGAGTAATGTWACAAAAATTATTATAGATGATAATAATTATGAGTTTGAAAAATTGGTTTTATTTCTATTATTATTTGATCTTGAAAACAAAACAAAAAAAAGTTTGTAATTTTAAATTATGTTAAAATTCATTTTAAACAGTATCTATGAAAATTAACAAATCAAAATCGACATGACAAATATTATTCTTTATCGTTTTTCGTTTTTGTAATGGGTGATTTTACTACAAGATAACTCAAAAACATAAAAAAAAAAATKATTCCACTTAAATGTGTTTTGTYTATATTACGCGTAGGCCAGAGAGCGAAAACAGTGCGCTGACCCATCTTACTTAATAATGATATTAACGATACTAAAACGATACTGATAAATAATTTAGATATTCGGTTTTCAGAGGAGATTTAGATACTCACCGTTATAATATATATCCGTATTAGAGTTAACATTGACTGCCTCCCCGGGGATAGCACCGACAGCGATGATTGAGGTGATCAAAATCAAACTTATAGTCGTCATGATTTTGGACAATGATGGCCAGAACAACGAACATGGRAMTCAGAAGCAAGAAATTCTACTACCTACGCAGTAAGTTGACCCACTAGCTCGACGAAAACCGGTCGTAGCTGCGCAGGCCACCGCGTCTTCGGAGCGCTAGTGTTGATCGTTGCCACCGCACCTGGCGTATACGTAGTGATTTGATTATCTTCACGACGTATCGACACYATCTCCGCGAACGCGCGCTATTATATTGATATAATTCGTATCAATTATTTTGTATAACATTCTGTATGCACGGCGGCAGCTGACTACTACGACGAACACCGCCGATTGCCGTACACCACTGACCAATCACAAACCACCTGTCTCCGGCATGGGGGGTCTGTCTGAACGTTCCGGCGGCTCAGTGTGCGTGCGCGCAAGTGGGTCAACTTACGGCGAATAGAGTATAGTTCCCTTTTATAAGCCATCTCGTTATAGATATTTATCGCATAAATGTAAGAAGGGGCTTCCGGATGCGCACCTACCGGCCGATCGATGAAAGTGACTGATTGCACTCTCGCACGTCCAAAATCCTTAGATCATAATATACAATTGTATAAGATCGAAGCTAAAATCTGTATTCGTAGGTCACCCGGTAACGTTGGTATTACTACTGATTTTGTATAATACCATGTAAGATCAATGGTTAATACTAGGGCAAGAACTTTTCTATGCATTTGCATATTGTTTCAGGTTAACTTAATCGTATGCTTAGTAAGTACAAAGGCTTAAATGCACTTTACCACCCCCCTCAAAATTTTCGATTTTTTTTTTGGAACATACTTATATTAACTATTTAAGAACGATGGCGCAATCAGAATTTGTCGGTCGGACTTAGTTTCGAAGTTATGGGCTTTGGAAGTTAGCAATTTTATGTTTTTTACGCATGAGCGCAACGTTGCGTT